CAGTAATTATTGAATTCGTTCTCTCCCAATTTTCTTATGGTTTACTAGATGCATCTTTTGAAGGGGGGAGGTAGGTGATAAAAATATATAAATTACATTATGTTAAAAATTGTATAACTTAGTATTCATGTATCTAATTAGGTTCAAAGGTTGATATAAAACTAAACATAGACTCACCTTATAACCTGCATCTGCACCCCTGACCATGACTTTTCATAGGAGTTCTATTCATAATTGCCCCAAACTGGAAGTAATCATTATTTCTTTCAAAAAGTGAAAGGAGAAACAAACTGAGATATATCCATACACGAGAATTTAATTCACCAATAACAAGAAATACACTATTAAACCATGTAAAGATATGGAAAAATCTTAAGTGAATATCTATAATAATAAAAGGTTAATATGCTAATTAGACCAGACATCTTCTGGACATCATTCCAGATGTCCTTCCTGAGGAAGCCAGGGCTGGAGGGAAGCCAGCTGGGGTCCCGGGTGCCTGCGGGTGGCCCAGGGGAAGCCAGCCAGGATCAGAGGAGGGAAGACTGGGCCCGAGGTGCCACCAGCCAGGGAAGTAAGGCCTACTCTTTACACAAATTTTTATGCATTGGGCCTCTAGTTACTAATAAAAAACCCAGTCTTAGAAGGCTATGTGACTCATGATTCTACTTACATGAGATTAAGGACTAGGAAGCACTATGGAAACAGAAGCCAGATCATTGGTTTCCAGGAAAGTACATCTTCTCCCAGTCAAGTCTTGCCATGACTGCAGCCTTGTGAGTGCCCATGAGCTTGAGGACCATGCTGAGCTGTAGCAGGGTGCTTGGCCCACAGGAAATGTGAGGCAATAAATATTTGTTGTTTAAAGCTTCTAAGAGTTTGAGATAATTTTTTATGAACATTATGTCATTATTCTAGTCATACATATTTTATATAACATTAAGAGCTTTTGCTTTTAACTAAGATGATGTTGAAGTGTTGTGAAAATACCTTTGTCATGGCTCAATACATGTTAATAGAGTTGTCTCTATAAATAGGACACCTTGAAACTAGACACAAGAATGCTATGTCTTCTACCTTTTCAGAATAATAATACTTTTCAATGTGTATTCCATTTTAAAATCTTCCCTTAACATACGAGTCATTCTATTGCATTTCATGTGATACCCCCTTACCAACCCTCTCAATTAGTATTGTCTAATCATTAATGGGAAAACATGAAATAAGACAAAATAAATATTTGGTCATGCCTTCTAGATTCTTCCTAGATATGTCTACAGTTAAACTCTACAACAGGAGTAGGCTTATTTAATGTGATTTATGCTAATCAAATAGAAAAGAGGAAAAGGATGGTTATAGATAAAGAAGTAAAATACTTATTTTGAATCAGAGAGAGAAATAAATAGAATCTAAGATCATTTAAAATGTTAAAGTGGCCCAGGCTGGCATGGCTCTGTGGTTGAGCATGAAGAGATAAACCAGAGGGTCATGGTTTGATTCTGGTCAGGGCACATACCCAAGTTGCAGGCTTAATCCCCAGTAAGGGGCGTGCAGGAGACAGTCTATCCATGATTCTCTCTCATTATTTATGTTTCTATCTCTTCCTCTCCTTTCTTCTCTGAAATTAATAAAAATATAAAAAGAAAAAAATATAACTAAAATGTCAAACTAATTTGTCTGGTTCCTCATTCATATCACATTAAAAACTCCTCTTTTCTGTACAAATGTGGCCCATTTCCTATACAGATATTTTCTTTGGCTAATGTTCCCCATATGCACAGATCAATCTTCACACCTTCTCTCACTCACTTTGCCTCTTTTGGCATGCATTCTGTTTGTCTGCCATATGTATCTATCCCTGCAACATTTCCAGACCCACTTTAAGTTTGAAATATAGCCTTTCCTGCATTTGGCGTTTTTATGCCTTTAGAACTTGGCATAAGTTTTCTCTATCAAATTCTGACTGATCTTCCTTTCCTCTATTTTTTTAAAGCTAGTTAATTTCAAGGAAGTATTTCCTCTTACTTTTGTCATTTTTGGCCCAACAGAGAGTTACGAGAACATAAAAATGTAGCAGTGTATCAGAGAAATCTCTTTGTAGTCTTGTGAGGCCAATCCTAGTAGATGGATGGTGTCTTTTGAGGGACAACTGGATTAGATCAAAACGTTCTCATCTAAGCTTTTCAGTTGGTTTTTTGGTGTGAACCTTCTTGGTTCAAGGACAATACTGTAGCAAGTGACCATTGACTCCCACAGAAATAAAGCTTTGACACATGTGAGAGCTGATTTAATTTGTAATTCATAAAATGATCCTTGGAGTGATTGCCGCCAATCTAAAATTTAGTTTCCTAATTTATCAGATGGATATGTCAACTCCAGGTTGAATCTTCCTTCTTCCCCTCTATACCTTCTTCATTTTCTAAGGTCTAGGTCAAGTACTTACTGAACTCCACCAGCCAAAAAACAGGAGAACACATAGGAGAGAAACAAATTAAGCTTATTTAGCTGGATGATGCAAGGGAGAGTTCTCTCCAGAGAAACTGTGAAGGTCTCAGTAGAAGGGTCTTGAAGATGGTTTTTAAAATTGGGCTTATGGTGGGAGGTTCTAAATGGGGAGGGAGTCATTTCTGAATTGGATGCTGTAAAAAATAGGGGCAATTCAGGGATTGGCTATTTTGGCAATTTTCTAGATGGTAGAAAGATTAAAGTAGAGCTGTATTATCATTGGTAAATAAGAAGTAGTCACTTGGTCTAGAGAGGATATTAGGTATTTTTCTGTGTTTGCTGATTAGTCCTGGTCTTTGTCTTGTTTCAGACCTGGTCACAGCCATAATTCACACTGATGAATATTGATGTTTTGTGTATGTTGCTCATCACAGCCTCACTCTGTCCATTGCCAGCACTGATTTTTCACTTTCTGAAATGATTTATTTACTGTTGAACACTTCCTCTTTTTCACTTTTTCAATTCTATGATGTCATATGCTGAGCACAATTATAAATAAAAATATCCCAGACATGGCCATTAATATTAATTTGTGGTCATATTTTCCTGTTGCTTTCTATTGCTATTATTTTCCTGTCAAATTGTCATAAACCAGTTTGAACTATCAACAGCAATATGTAATACTGTACTTCCATTGTTATTGTAAATTTTATATTTAAAAAATTATTTAATAGGCAAAATGAAATATAATTTTGAACTGATTTGAGTTTCTATAATTATATCTGAGGTCAATCTTTTTTACATGTGTTTTGTGGGTATCTAAAATTATTTTGGAAAATGGTAAAAATGCATTTCTAAGATATTACTATTGTAGATATCTGCTCAACTTCTTATGGTTTTCATTTTCTTATAAAGCATAGCACTTTTAATGGCCTTGCATATATGTGTTGAGACTAAAACTAATTATTTGCTATCTTTAGAAATAGTGTTTCAGTAGATAAAATACATAATTTCTTCAGGGCAAAATTTCAACTACTTGCAGAAGGCAAAACAATAGGTATTGTAAATGAATGGGTAAATAAAAAATATGATCATACAACAAGATGCTAAGGCAACATTTTTAAACTGTAAGCATTTAAATTTCCAAAATGAGATGACTATTTTGCTTTAAATTGCTAAATTTGTGGCCATTTGTTCTGCAGTCATAAAAAATGTATTAGTTTTTTTATTCTTCCAAATATTTTTGGTTGTAATTCCATTTGAAATACCAAGGAGATTTCCTGAAATAATTACATAATGTATGCTACCTGAAATTTTGTTTGATGTAATCTTGGTTTTAAATTAGCAAGATAAAATTCTAGACACCAAATGCATTGTCATAAATACCTATTGGATGACATAATCCTTAGATAAGTTATTCTAAATGTTAATATTTTAGCTCTATATTTTTTCCAAAATTGACTTATAAAATTAACTAAATATAAATAAAAAACAGTCTGAAAATGTATCCCTCTTTGTCAGTTATTTTTATGGATTTTGACATCTGATTGTTGCTTTCAAGTAACAACAGATATATACTCAATAATAAAATATATATTAAAATTACTGTTCAAGTTTTTAAAATTATAAATAAAATTTTATTAAGTAATACAACATAAAAATAGATTTTACTCTTTAGTGTTTGTGGGAGTTTCTTGAGCCAAGTTATGTCTGAATCTTCTCTTCTTTTGTTGTTGAACCTATTTAAAGGTTTTTGTTCATTCATTGTTATTTGATGTTTAGCATAAATTGAGTAAAATATAAAAATTGAAAGTGTGCAAGTTTTATTTTAAATATTTTTATAATTATTTAAAGTATTGCAACATAGTGAATATTATTTTAGCTATTGAGTCTAATATCCCTGAATATACATATCAACACACATATGTATTTTATGCATAGAAATGTAATTTTATACATTAGGCATATATTATATATGTGTAGATATAATATATATAGTTTATAAATGCTTTACAATATATATTTCACACCAATGCTACCTTCAGAAATACAATAAATTATTTTTTCTTTGATGTTGAAGGCTAATCCCCACCAGAATTCCTAGCTCTGAATATGACACACTCAATTTACTTATGACAATCTTGTAACATCAATCATGCCTTGCAGCCAGCAACTGCAGCCCTTCTGTTGTTAGTAGTTTCCCTGTAATTATTTTTTAAGTCATTTCCACAGTACTTCATAAACCCTTTTTAATGCTACTGGATAGAAACAGACAAATCAATTCAATTTTCAAGGGCTTTTAAGAAATAGAGCTTGATTTTAGGTGGCAGTTAATTTCATATTGCTATCTTAATCAGGGACATAAGATATAGTGTGTGTGTGTGTGTGTGTGTGTGTGTGTGTGTGTGTGTTTAAGGTAAGATTTTCATAACTGCAACCTAGAAAAAAATTGCTGTATAACAGTGAAGTCTTCTTCCTTCCTTCCTTCCTCCTTCCTTCTTCCTTCCTTCCTTCCTTCCTTCCTTCCTTCCTTCCTTCCTTCCTTCCTTCCTTCCTTCCTTCCTTCCTTTCTTTCTTTTCTTTTCTTTTTGCATGGGGAGGGGAAAAATCAACCTTACCATCCACTCTCCCATATGCTTCAACTTTCATGTCTGTTTTGCTATCGATTCCATTAGCATAATGATTAATGAAAGTTCTCCAGAATTTCAGATTCCTTGAAAAGTAGCCAGTGCTTGCTCTTTGGAAGCGACATCAAATAAAGAACAATAAAAAGAGGGTGCTTTAGGCTTTGGAAATCTTCACAGACACATCGCTGTGATCTTTTTATCACTGCTGCGGAAAAGAGGACAGCATTTCATATTTCTGGCATTACTAATGACAACATGACAACTGCAAGAAAGCATGGATTTCTGGGGGTAGCACAGGGAACGGGACTCCTGCTGCGCTCACCAGCTCCCTGCTCCGCACAGCTGCCTTCTCAGCTGGGGGTTTTAAATCAGCACTGAGAAAATACAGAAATGACCGTGATGCATCTTCCTCACCACGAGAAAAAGGTAATGTTTAATTAACACTCCAGCGTTCTGTTTCCTTTTTTAAAATTCAATATGGATAAATTTTTATTATAACAGAAGTGTCCATTCATCAAAGGAACAAGCAGTCTTAAATATGCATGCACCTAATCACAGGGCTTCAATCAGTCTTTTGTTTGCAACTGACTTATTTCTGTCTTCGTACATTTTGCTTTGGATCTTTTGTTGTTGTTGTTGCTCCTTTTCATTATGGAATAAAATGCTGACACTAAAAATATATTTGTGCTTGCAGTTATGGGGAGGAATACTGACTTCTTATGGTTTTGCTGAAATCAGTAAGAGTTGCAGGAATTATAAGGCTTTAAAAGTGTACATTTATATCCACAGCATACTAACAAGGGATCATGCTCACCTAGCTAAACTTGCATGTAATTGTAAAAATATCACAATAGAAAAAGTAAACCTCTTTTAAAAGTATTTCAATAATGCAACATTTGATTTGTTAAGGATGCACATATGTACCTCACCGGCTGCTCTGTTGTAGAATGGTATGTAGCATGGCATTCATGGGAGCTCTGCTTTAAGGATGGTTTGGGTGCCAATAAAAAACAGTTAATTTAAAAAAGCAATGCTTTTAATCTTCTAGCCATAAAAAAATGCACTATCTTCATTTACACTTGTTACAGGAATTGCATAGGTATAAATTAATAAACACGGTTTTATAGAATCATGTTCTTCATAGAGTGATTTGCTTCTCTGTTCTTAAAGACAAGTCCGCTAGAATCCTTGGTTGACTACTTTATTTTCCTCTTTGAGAACAATTTGCTTTACAAGCCCAGAATGATATGAGAAAATAGGGCTATGTGACCTGTGTATGTGTGCATGCATGCATAAATGTTTGTTTTGCTCTGACTTGGGCCTTGTAAATTTCCTCTCAGATTTTCATTAGCAACTAATTGACAAGGTGAATATTTAGAGGTTAAATACTGTTCTTAAGAATGGAGTAGAAGGATTCAATGTGTATTGGAAATGTGTCAAAATAGTTTTATTTTAAGACTTGAAGCAAAATATTGATTGCTACAACTTTAGTAATTACGCATTACAAAATCTGACCAGCAATTCATTTTACAAACATTATGTGCTAGGTACTGGGCATGGCAATGAAGACAAAAAGATAGACATGTGGTCCTCACTCTTCAGACATTTATAATCTAAATTACTTTTTTTTTTAAAAAATCAATGAACTATTTTCTGAAAAAGGATCTGATGTTTAACTCTATTACTGAGCAGCTTATGTTGATGTATTAAATTTCACCCAAAAAGACAATACCATTTGCCTACTAGGTAATTGATCTACAAAGGATTGATTTTTACCTACTTAGGCAACAAATATTTATTGAATGACTTAATTGTACCAATCACTGTTGGATATACTTGAGATACAGCAGCAAACGAGACAATGGAGCCTCTATCATGGAGCTTATTACATTCTAGCAGGAATCGAAGATGAAGAGGCAGCATAATCCTTCACGCTTATTTTGAGAAAGAGAAATGGGCAAGTGTGACTGAGAAATTAAGCCTATTGACTTGAGTTTATAGCAATTTATCTGGCCCACTTGATTTTTCTACTGGACCAAAGGACAGGAACTTTTACAGCCTGGCCAGAGTGGATCAGTGTTTGAGCATTGACCTATGAACCAGGAGGTCATGGTTCAATTCCCAGTTAGGGTACATACCCAGGTTGGGGACTCGATCACCAGTGTGAGGCATGCAGGAGGCAGCTGATTAGTTATACTCTCTCATCATTGATGTTCTATTTCTCCCTGTCCCTCTCTGAAATACACACACACACACACACACACACACACACACACACACATATATATATATATAATTTTTAAAAGCTTTTATAAATATTCATAGCACTTTCAGAATACTTCGAAAGGACTTTAAAGTCAAATGACAAATTAGAATAATATTGTTCTTTCAAAGCCTGTGTTAAGAAGAGTATGCAAACAGTAAATTACTACACAGTAAAATGATTTTAAATTTCAGATGCTTTAAAGTGATTTTTTAGCAGTAGTTTCCCTGAGCTTTCTCTTGACCGACCAACTGGCAAAACACACAAGTTCTGAGAGTCCATTGAGATGGTCATACTCTCTCTGCTGGCTGCTTTGGTCAGTAGTAAAACTGGTGCACTGAGCATGCTTCTGGGATCCCACCATGGAAGGCATTTAGAAAACATTTAAGTGCAGCTTCATGCTTCTCTGTTTCTTATTTTGAATACCTCATTTTTCTGTTTTAAGATTGTAGTAGAATACATTTTTTCTGTTTTGACATCTTTGTTTTTTTCTTGATTTCATTTTATATTCTATCTATCATCTATCTATCTATCTATCTATCTATCTATCTATCTATATCTATATCTATCTATCTATCATCTATCTATCTCTATCATCTATCTATCATCATTCATCATCATCTATCTGTCTATCATCTACTATCTAGCTATTATCTGTCTATCTAAAAATAAGGATCTATTCTTTTTAGCTCACCCTCAGGTATTTCAAATACGTTTCTCCATTGTCATCTCTATTATGACAGTTAAAAAACCCCTAAGTTCTCATGTTTCCAGTCTCTTTTGTAATGAGAGCACCCATTATCTTTAGTCCTGGACACTGAGACATGGATATAAACTTGCTAAGAACTTTATGAAAGACTTTATTTACTTGATAGAAGGGCAAGACATGGTGGCATGGCTCCTTCCTCCTCCTTTCTGGAAGTCAGACTGGAATGCTGAAAGCTACTGCAGCCATTTTGTGACTATGAGGTAGATAGGAGGAAATCCCAGGAGAATTTCAGAAATGCCAACCCTAACATGCTAAAACCACTGAACTAATGCCAGCTGCCTTATTGTCAGAAAAATAAATCAATATTTATTAAGTCACACTAAGTGGTGTTTTCTGTTACTTTTAGCTTGGAGAATTCCTAACCAAGGTTGCACGCATAAATAATTTATTAGAGATTATTAAAACTTGAGCATTTTGTTATGAAATAAAACACTTAACAATAAAGAGCAAAATGCAATTCTTGTCTTTAATAATTTTATGGTGGATATTTTATATGGTAAACAAATAAAAATGAAAAGACTTTCTGATACTCATCCATGGCTTGAATTCAATTTGCAGGGGCATATTTCTTACCGTTTTTTTTTTTTTTGTGTGTGTGTGTGTATTCATTTTCTCATGTATAAAATGAAGGATGATATTCTTTCTAAGGTCCATTGCAGATTTATACTTCTGAATTTATTAGAATAAACGTAGTTTAAGACTATGGATTGTAACACTATATATTTTTAAAGTATGTACATTTTTATTGATTTCAGAGAGGAAGGGAAAGGGAGAGATAGAAACATTAATGATGAGAGAGAATCATTGATTGGTTGCCTCTTGTATGCCCCCTACTTGGGGTCAAGCCTAAAACCTGGGCATGTGGCCTAACAGGGAATCCAACTGTGACCTCCTGGTTCACGGGTTGATGCTCAATCACTGATCTACCCTAGCCAGCTGTCAGACTATATATTGAATGATATTTAAAAAATTGTATTCTATAGATAGTTTGGTTATGAAAGAAGCCATTGTACTTTTACTGTTCATCATAGGATTCTATACATTCTACATTAGAAAAACTAGGCTATAAGTTTGAGTCTTTGGATAATACACTCTAAAAATCTATTTTCTTTAGTTATTTACCTACTGAAATTAGTAGAAAAATTATATATAAAAGCATCCTTTAAGAATAATTCCCTCCAGCAAAATGATATATAGCCTCATTAATATTCTTCTTTGCAGGAATAAATCCAGACAAAATAAATTCACTACTCTGGAGGTTTGTTTGACACCAATATCACTTTATGACATGACTGCACAACTGCACGAAATTGGCACAAAGAGGTTTCATTGAAGCAATAGAAATGTCCTCAAATTGTTTTAGGAAGACATAAAGCATGACAAATAAAATGTTGCCATACGATTTAAAATAAAATATAAGCAAATGAGAATTAAAGGTGAATTGATCATAAACAACATTAATGTCAAGGATTATTTTATTTTTCTATCTAATATTGCAATAATAAGTACTTAAAATATTGATCAAATGCTAGTTGCTCCAACTAAGTCTTTTTTAGCCATTTTTAACTACAATTTGTAATTTGGTTGATGTTGGAAAATGAGATGTACAAAGAAGCCATAGCTGGAAATAGAAAATAAATAAAATTGATACCATACAAAAAGGAGGAAATTGATAGTAAGCAAAAAGCTTTAATACAAAAATGGAAAAAGAGAAATGATGATGTGACAATGTGTATGTATTTGTGTGTATGTATGCCTATGTGTGTGTGTGTGTGTGTGTGTGTGTGAGTGTGTGTGTGTGTTTATGTGTTTGAGTGCATAGACAAGCATGTGGGACAATTAGGGAAGAAAAAAAATGCATCAATATAGAGGTTTTATAGAGGTTTCATCCTTTTCATGAGATAAGGAAACTTGCCAGATAATGATCCTCACCTCTTGTTTTTCAGAATAATGGGCAGCCCATGAACTGGAGAGATGATCTGCTACTTAAAAATGAGGGCTCTTTGCCTTCTTGGTTGGAACATAGCATCTTTGGATGGTACTGGAGTATAAACAAATAGAAATGCCTTTTCTCTACATGCTGGAAGCAGTCATTCCTGTTGCCACGGAAACATCCTGAGGCAGCCAGGGTCACCTTTGGAAACCATTGAAAGACTTCAGAAGCAGATCAATAGAGACATGCAGAGACCTGAACTTCCCAGCTAATGTTGTCTCTTATTTTAAAGGTCATTTTTCAACAAACACTTGCTTATGTGAATACCATGTACTGGGAAGTAGGAAGGCAAAATTGAATGTATAATAACTGGTCCATATTGTCAAGCTCTGCTTTTAGAAGCCTGTGGTTTTTGGTAGAAATGCTTTGAGAAGGGAATGAGTAGGAATAGCAGTCTGTATGATGGAGTGACATTCAGGTTTTAAAGAAAAGCTGCATTTAAGACTTCATTTGCAGAAAAGTTTTCAAAATACACAGATTCTTTACTCATACAAGCATACTTCATTGGATTTTATCTAAGTTAGTGAGATTTTTTACTTTAATTTAAAAAATGTTTTGTCATATAGTAGGTTTGTGCAGATTTTGTGTCAAAAAAGCACAATTTCATTCACTCAAATACTCACTCATTTGACCATTAATTCATCTTATTATCAAATATTTATTATGTCACACTATAAGTCAGGTATTACCTGAAGATGGGGAGTGAACAAAACATTATCTTTGCTTTTAAGGTCTGGGGACTTAATCTGATGAAGAAGGTAGATATGAAAACAAACAATGCAGCCTAAACCAGTTTTACTCAGTGGATGCAGGCGTCTTCAAACTACAGCCCGCGGGCCACATGTGGCCTGCAGAGGAGTCTGATCTGGCCCGCCAGGTTTTTTGGGCAGTGAGCGCAGCCGAGGTGTTACGGTAGGAATTAGTAGTTCATATAGTCCGGCTCTCCAGCTCTCTGAGGGACCGTGATCTGGCCCCCACTTTAAAAAGTTTGAGGACCCCTGGTAGAGCATCGGCCTGCGGACTGAAGGGTCCCAAGTTCGATTCCAATCAAGGGCACATCCCCAGTGGGAGGTGTGCAAGAGGCAGCTGATCGATGATTCTCTCTCATCAATGTTTCTAACTCTCTATCCCTCTCTTTTCCTCTTTGTAAAAATCAATAGAAATATTTAAAAAAATAAATAAAAACAAACAATGCAATTACTTGCAGAAGGAGCACATTGTGATGTTTGTAATTCTTCCTGGGGAGGTGAGAAGGCTTTGGAGAGGAAAACTGATTTTAGCCTTGAGGGATAGATATACATTGAGAAGACAGTTAAGACACAGACAATAGCAAATGCAAAGTGCATATATGTGCAGGACAGATTTCATGGATGTTCTGTTGATTGATGCTCAGGATATATTTGGAAGTGTTTGGAGTTGAGGTTGGCACAGACCATAGAAGTCCTTTTATAATATGAAAAAATTTATGCTTTACTATTAGTTTTCCAGATTTTTTTTTTGTAACTTCAGATTTAACAAATTGGACTATTCAATGCTATAATAAATAGGGCTTTAACTAGCTTACTATGATTCTCTCTTATTTCCCCTTTACAATCCAGAATTATTTACAAATACTCAAGTGCTTTCAGAGGGCTTAAGGAATTGAAATTGCTTTTTTCTTTTTAAAAAATATTTATTGACTAGAGGCCAGGTGCATGAAATCCGTGCCCTGGTGTGTGTGGGGGGTGATCTTTCAGCCCAGTCCGCCCCCCAGTACAGAGGCCTCTGGGGATGTCTTTCGTGGGAGGTGACCAGGCTAATCAAGGAAAAGCACCACTCCCATCACCTCACTGCTGTTGCCATTACCAGCTGGCTGTTGTAGCCACCAAGGTATTTTCATCAACATGAACTCCAGTCCCTTTACCACAAAAAATGACAACTTTCTTTAGGCATTTTTAAGATGTCTCTTTCATAGGATATACCATTTCTTTCTTATTTTTTTTCCCTCACCTGAGGATATTTTTTCCATTGATTTTTAGAGAGCGTGGAAGAGATAGGGAAAGACAGAGAGAAACATCACTGTGGGAGACACCTCAATTGGTTGCCTCGTTCATGAGCCCTGACCTGGGCCCTGGCCAGGAAGGAGACTGCAGCCTAGGTACGTGTCCTTGATCAGAATCGAACCTGGACCCTGCCGTCCAGAGGCCAAGGTTCTATCCCCTGAGCCAAAGGAACTAGGGCAGATATGACATTTCTTAGCTCTTCCAGCAGCGGACCTTCATTTCTTCCTTCAGGAGTGAGATGGAAAACCCTAGATTACCTTCTTGGATTCTTTTTTTTTTTTTTTTACAGAGAGGAAAGAAGAAGGACAGAGAGTTAGAAACATAGATGAGAAAGAAACATTGATCAGCTGCCTCCTGCACACCTCCTACTGGGAATGTGCCCGCAACCAAGGTACATGCCCTTTGACCGGAATCGAACCTGGGACCTTTCAGACTGCAAGCCAATGCTCTATCCACTGAGCTACACCAGTTAGGGCCTTCTTAAATTCTTATTATGCAAGTTACCAGGAACGCTAAGGGTGGTGTACTGGGAAGCTTAGCCAATGAGCAGAGGCAGGACTGCTAGCACACCACAGCTGGCAGGCCCCCCAGTGTGCGCTCTGGGCCTGCTCAAGCTGCCATGGTTGTGGCTGGCAGGCCCCATGTCTCCGGGCCTGTGCCATCAGTGGCTTGCCTCACCTTGCACACAGTCCCCTCCAACCCACCTGTGCATGCAGCATCCTGCTGAGTGGTCGTGACCTTATGGTGTCCCAGACAATTTGCATATTACCTCTCTCTCTCTCTCTCTCTCTCTCTCTCTCTCTCTCTCTCTCTCTCTCTCATAATATATAATGTTATATGAGATTCTCTCTCTCTCTCATATAATATATAATATTTTATGAGATTCTCTCTCTCATATAATATATAATATATAATATTATATGAGATTCTCTCTCATATAATATATATAATATTATATGAAATTCTCTCATATAATATTATAATATTATGAGATTATCTCTCTCTCTCATATAATATATAATATATAATATTATATGAGAGAGAGAGAGAGAGGTATTTGTTGTTCTGCTCATTTATGCATTCATTGTTTGATTTTTGCATGTGCCCTGACTGGGATTGAACCTGCAACCTTGGGGTATCCCTTTCGAGATGGCACTCTAACCTACTGAGCTACCTGACCAGGCCAGTAATTATATTTATGATGCTTTATTATTGCAAGCAATAGTTAAATGTAGGAGTAAACTCTTTTTATATTACAACTAGCAGCAATATTTGATTTATTAAAATACAACTAATGGAATTTTATAATAGGAGTCTTGAAATCACATATCTTTCTTTTTTTTTTTTTTTTTTTTTTTTTAAATATATTTTATTGATTTTGTACAGAGAGGAAGGGAGAGAGATAGAGAGCTAGAAACATCGATGAAAGAGAGAGTCATCAACCAGCTGCCTCTTGCACACCCCCTACTGGGGATGTGCCCGCAACCAAGGTACATGCCCTTGACCGGAATCGAACCCGGGACCTTTCAGTCCCCAAGCCGACGCTCTATCCATTGAGCCAAACCGGTCTCGGCTCACATATCTTTCTTTTGTTAAAATATTCTTAAGTGACAAGTAATGATAGCTCTTCAGACTACAAATATGATACATTGCACATGGAATTGCACCCTGTTAACTCTTCCTTTATGAAGGATAAGAATTAAACTTTATGCATAAAAAGATGTAGAGGGTGTGTATGTTTGAGTGCTAAAGCTCTTTGGCATCATTTAGGTTAGCCACCTGTTCTAGCCTGCATTTACTGAATAAATTAGATGATCTGGAGAGAGTGTGTATGCAGCTGATTGGTCTGCCTTGTTACCAAGGCAACCATTTCTCTCTCTCCTCTATGCCTCTGAAAGGGTTCATAACCCATTAGTACTTGGGCAGGAACATGAGAAAATGTCTTTCTTTTACTTTTTTTTCTCTCTCTGTAATTCCTGATAAAAACGATGGGTAATGGGATTAGCAGAATTTAGCAGATTGCTTTGAGCAAATTATTTATTCAGACTGTACATTTTCCAAATGTTTGTAAAATTTAGATAAAAGCCTTAAAGACACATCACAGCTAATAAAGAGAGGCTGATGATAACTAATATAAAATTGAAAATATTTTTAATCTCAAGTGAAGATTGTCAAAAGCAATATATATAAAAATAGAGATTTTCTGAATGATGTTTTCCCAAATCATTTTAGCTATGATTTCTATCAGGGTTTTCCTCTCTTTACAGAGACAATGAAACATAAAAGGGTAACAATTTAATAAAGGTTTTATTAGATCCATCAAACTGTAAGTTCAGTGGCTAAGTGATCATTTTCTGAATATCAAAGAGCTGGAAGGATTGTGGGGTGATGGCTGACTCCACACTATGGCCAACCCATCAGAAATCAATACAGATTTTTCATGCCCAAGTGACATTTAGATTTCAGCATATCAATTCTCTTTGATTTTATGAACAATATTTGTCTATTTTCTCCACCTTTGTACATAGCTTTCCCTTGGTATCCAAATAGTCATGTATTAAAAAAAATCAGTAGGCCTCCCAAATAGATTCATTTCTATAGCACTTACCTTGTAACAGGAATTTCACTTTATCCCATTTTCCTCACTATTCTTGTCAACTCAGTGAGATAGATATTGTCTATCTCATCTTACAGTTGTGTAGACCGAGGCTCAAGTGGGTACATAGCTTGTCAAGAATAGTGGGGCTGTTATTCATATTGAGTTCTAGCTCATGCTTTTTTACTATGCTATGGGGTCTTTAACTTTCTAACTCTATTTCTATAATAATTTTAGCAGGACATGTCCTTTCTGAACATAGAAATATTACCCAGAAAAAAAAGCCATATTAAATCTTAAAACATTTAAAGGAAGCATCTTGAAAGCCTTCTCACTTTATTATTTTGGATTTTTTCACAAGTAGAATGCAATTCCAAGCTTTGCTTGACTCACCCTAGTGCTGAAGTTTTTGTATTAATAGATATTGAGAGGAATGGCTTTATCATACATGGCAATTCCTTGACATTTAAAAAAAATATTGTTATCGAAAAAGAGAGAGAGAGCAAAAGGTAAAAACATCAATGATAAGAGAATGTTGATCAGCTGCTTCCTGCACACCCCTTACTGAGGATCAAGCCTGCAACCCAGGCATGTGCCCTTGACCCTTCAGTCTACGAGCCAATGCTCTATCAACTGAGCCAAACTGGCTAGGGTGAGATTTCTTTTTATTACCTTTTTATAAATACTAGATAAGCTAATTAAAATTGAACTTTGAATCCCTACTTTGTAGCTATCTCTGCTGTTCTTTGCAATTAAAAAAGAGCATATAGCATGCTGATATATATGTATATCAGGGCAATGGTTTTTTTTTTTGGTTTTTTTTTTGAGGAATTAAGTTCATGTTCTGATCATGGACAAACCTCAATGCAATTAGATTTACTCTGATTCCTGATTTTCTACTTATTTTAATTCTGCAATCTGAAGTTTCATAGTTGGAGTTGACATTTTAAAATAAATAGTTCTTTGATAGATACAGGGACATTTTAAGATGTGATCACACCATGAACAGGCAGTTTTTACATACAGTTCTCAGTGTCCAATAAGGCAGTGCAAATATTTTACTTGGTGTGAAGGCAGATTGTGATTGATCCC